ATACTCAATTCGGAGGCGGTTGGCTTTCCGTTCAGCAGAAGAGATTTTCTTTTCATATTCCATATTATTAAGAGTTTCATTTACCAAAAAGGCAGTCTTCTCTTTCAGCACAATTTCTTTCTTTCTGATCTCCTGTTTTATCTCTGCAATTAGCTATCAGGATAAAAGTATTTTATATTTGTTTGCATTAGTTAAGATATGTTAGATTAATTAAAGATACAACCAGAAGACCAATTGCTATTATAACTATTATTTGCACGAGACAGCCCCGTTATCATCCTTAAAATTACTTTATTCCACACCTCCTTCACAACACCAATTACTACAATTGTTTTGGATTGAAAACTTCCAAAATATTCCAATAATTTCAAAAAAAAGTGACACTACAAACTCATATGAAAATAATTTTTGATTGAGTAAATAGGGGAAAAAAAGCTAAACAAACATTCAGATAGACTTGCAACAGATGAAATGCAAGAGGAAAATTATTAACAGTAATAAGGCTTTCTTTACTTGACAGATTTATAGCTATTCAGTGAAAACTGTGTATTTTGAAAGGTTAAGTAAAAGATTAGCTACTGGGAAAATTATACTGTAGTTCTGATGTTTAAAAAGAAAAAAACCAAACCAAGCAAAGTCCAGATATGGATCAGTTCCAGCAGTTTTACCAAAGCACAATGATCAATCTGTTGATCTCTTTTTTGCATCTGTTGTATTGCATTCTCCCACTGCCTGATGACTTCTTGCCTTTCCTGATGAACTCGGCGACAATCTTCAGCTGCCCTGTCAAGCTCCATCTGTTTAAAAGAAAGTACCCCCATGATTCCTGGTGTTAAAAATGTCACATGTAACCAGGGATCTCCAAGAACCTTAAGCACAAACCTGAGCTGTTAAGGTCTCTGTAAGCTCATTATCAAGAGCTCTGCGCTTCTGATTTGCCTGTATGGTCAACTTTTCTACTTGAAAGGTTAATGCCTGAAAATGAAAGGATATGAAAATATATGTGTTTGAAAATAAACAGATCACATCTTATAGTTTCTTAAAGCCCTGGTACAAACAATTAGGGGTTGAATTACTGAGGCATCAATTTTATTCTGCTTTAGAGAACAAAAAGCTGACAGTTTAGCCTCCCAGATTTTCAGTCATATAAGAGGCCATAATTTTGTCAGCCCTTGGGACCAGACTGCAGCAAGGGCCAAGTATCCTCCCAACTGTGTGTAAATGCATATGTGGTGTCCTACTTCACTTCACTCTTCCTACTATGCTGTGTGACTGCTCCTGTAAATGATAGCAGCGAGACTGTTTGTGTAAACTAAAGTTTTTGAGTTAAGTACTTAATGAGTAAAAATCAAATTTCTCCTCATTGTATTTAAAGGCTAAAAAGAATAATAACCCAGGTTACTTGTCTCTATATTAATAATATACTTGAGAACTAACCCTTAGAAAGTATCAACTTGTGACTGGAATCTCTGTTTATACAGATATATATGTTTATATCTTTCATTATTCCAGTTAGCTTTACTGAGGTAGCTGTACTTTGTTTTCAGCCATATTGACAAATTTGGTTCTAAAAGGGAAACCTACACTATTCATCCACACTTGGGGTGGATTTTTGATCCAACTCCTCTGAGTTCAGTGGCACTGTTTTCCAGATTTTATTATCTATTTGTGCACCCTCTCAGAAAAATTTAAATTTTACCCAGACAAACAAGCAAATTAATGTCTTAAATCATGCCTTTCATTGCTGTAAAAGTTGTTCTCTCTGATCTTGAAAATGAACCTCATATGGAATTGCACTGTTGTGCTAAATGGAAACCAATTTAAAAGCACTGTTGTACAAAATCTCATTTCCATCTTATCTGACTCAATAATATAACAAGGTCTTCAAATGCCCAAACAGTTTTCCATTTTGTTTGCATTTCTACTTACTCCTAGTTTCCCTTCATCTTGCTGTGCATACTTCTGGATTGCAAGAGCGTCATTATCTGTACGATTTAATTCCTTTAGCCAGCTCTCCAGGACTTCCTCATCACAGTTCATCTGTTCTTTTAAGTCTTCCAACTTCTGAATTGTTTTACTGATAGTATTCTTATGAAACAAGAGAAAATTAAAGGGTCAATACAAAATGTCTAATATTCATTGAATAGTAATTGAAGCAATCAGTTCAGGCTACTGTAACAAATTTACACACATCTTGTCCATAGAATTGCTAGGTTTTTTATTAGTTGTGTGTTATACTGGAGGAATGCTGTTGGATGTCCTGCTCTCAAAGAAGAAACAAGACAGTAAGTTGTCACAAATTTGAAATGCAAATAATTTTGAAAATAATTTAAATAAATTTTAAATGTGGGATATTTATTCCACATAATAAACTGATCTGAGGCATCAAAAGTTAAAGTTCCTCCCTCACATACTAAGACCAAGCTCTTAGATCCTTATCTTACATGTCAATTTTCAAATGTCCCCACGTGACTGTGAAGAGACTTCCTGACATTAAAATGAGACAATCTGCACCCAGCAGAATAGTGAGAATATCTTCATCCCGCTACCCATTTGGAAAGACCAGAGATTACAAACAGCCTTAATCAGAAGAAATAGAGCAAATTAAAAAAATAATTTAAATAATTCATAGAAAGAAAAAGAGACATTTCCAATCCCAGAAAACCACTTATAATTGGATAGCATTAGATTACTTTTTACGTGAAACAAATGTTTGATCTTGAAATCATGCCCGGAGTTTATTTTACGTGGAGAAGATTGCCACCAACAATTTAATTTTTAAACCATAAAGAAAATACCTGTGAGAATTAACAAGACAGTGATATGGATGTGTGGCTCTGTATCTGGCATTAGGAACAAAAGTCTTTCAGTACCTAATTAATGTTTGCTAAGTCTTGACAAGTCTAAGCAAGGAGATCCTCAGTGTCCTTTTATTTGCCTTCCCAGGGAAAAGCACATCCAGGTCATCTACTACAGTTCAGAAGTTTTAATTATAATTAGCCATTCTTGACTTATACTACTGTTTCTGTAAGTGCAAGTGAGGACAAGCTATAAAATTTTGCAATACAGGTGTTCTCTTCCAAAAATTTTAAACCTTACTTCTTGTCTGTTTTTCTTTTCTCCTAAGGAAATCAACTCATTTTGCAGTCGTTTAAGGTCACTTTTGAGACGCCCACATTCTCTCTCAGCAAGGGCTTTAAAGTGTTGTTCAGTTTCAATTTCATTCTCTCTGGCTCTGTAAAGATACTGCAGAATAATGAATTGCAGCATTTTACAACAAACAAAAGGTATATATCAACAAACAAACTTTTTTCTACACACAATCAAATCCCAAGTCACAGATGGTGTGATTTCACCACGTAAATGTAGGAATTTTTCAGAGAAACTTTATTGTTTGGGTTTTAGTATCTCAAATACATGTATTCTTATATTTTTATATATATACATATAAACACACATACTCACATTGTATCATTGTATCCACAGACCAACCATTTATAGCCCTAAAAACTCAAAGATTTTTCACCCAAGATTCAGAAATCCTAACCTTTCAACATAAAAATCTTAGAATCTTAGTCTCTTAATCACTAGTGACTTTACATCAGATTCAGCAGGTGCAGGAAAATAAAATAAAAAAAAAATTTATTGTTTTGAGATGAGACAGACCTCCACCAGGCTGGCCCATGGCAGTACCTCTGTATTGTCTAATCTTTCTTTCCTCTAATTCAAATTAAAACTTGAATCTGGCACACAAAAAACCCCCAAACATTAAGACGTTATTCAGCTGCAGGGAATAAGAGTTTTTCACCTAGGAGATTTTACCTAAAGGGGGTAAAGCTTTGACTCCAAACTCTTTAGAAATCTAAACTACCCATTTTGGCCAATTAACTTAGTGTGTAGACTTACACTTTAACCATCTCACGTCATTTTTCAGGTCTGTAAATTAACTCTTCACTAGCATTTCACCACTAATTCTTGACCATTATAAAGAGTATAAATTTGTTCTTCCCATACACTGATGTTTTGTTTTCCTTGATCAATTTTTTCTTAATAATTTTGAAAGCCCCCATTCATGAAGAATTCTAAAATGTATCCTCCTTGGCTTTCTTCTAGGTACATTCATTTGACCTAGGGTGATCTTCTTAATGACCATCAAATAATATCACTCAGATATATAGTTTAATTTTTGTTTCTTGTGGAAATCCTGGGAGAAAAGGCCTAAAAAAAAAAATCTCTAACAAAGCTGGCAAAATGTACAGGGATACCAGCCACAGAGAGACACTCAGGTTACAAGTCTGTCTGATAAAGCAGATCAGCTTGTGGTGGTGATTTACCTGAGAGAAGCTTAAGTCTTGTCTCACGTTCTTCAAATGAGCCGTCATGGCTTCTATGCGCTCCTTAAAGTTGGTCAGCTCATTCCTCAGGTTCGCTTTTTCCTTTTGCATCTTATGCAGCTGTTTAAGATTAGAATCGCCAAGTGACTATTTGCAGCTGAGCGCTTATTACCTGCAACTACTTAAGGATAAGTCATTGCGATTATTAATTAAAAAAATGTAAGAAGCACACGCTGCGTTCCTCCAAAGCATTGAAATGAGAGGTTTCAGGGGAAAACCCCGAGCTTTACTAATGGACCGCACAGATCCCGTTCCTCCTCCCGGGGGGCTCGGGGGATGCGGGTCCCACGCTCGGAGGCAGGATTTCCCTCCCGGGTGCCCTCCGCAGCTCCGCGGAACTCGTAGGTTTTCCCTCCATCCCTCCCTCCCTCCCCGGCCGCGGGGGGCAGGCGGGCTCCGCTCCCTCCCGGCTGCAGCCCCGCGCTCACTTCGTCCTCCAGCGCCTTGTTCTCGGCGTTGGCCACGGGCACGGCGTAGGCGCTGTCCCAGCCGAGCTCGGCCAGCACCGAAGCCGTGGAGGAGCTGTCCAAGCTCTCCATGGCCGCGATGGTGCCGCGCAGGGCCGGGGCTGTGGCGGCTCCGGGCGCTTGGCAACGGGCGGCAGCGGGAGGCAACGGCGCCTCAGGCGGCACCGCCCCCGGGCCGGGCCGGGGCACCGGGCGGGGACAGTCCTGGGCTCGGTGCCTGCAGGAACGCGGCTGTCTGCGGGTCACGGGGGTTACCGTGTGCGCAGAGGGGGTGTCAGACCCAGAGGCATTGGCAGCGCCTCAGAGCCCCCCCGGACTCAGCTGCTCCCTGCCAGCGCCAGCCCGAGCCACGGGTCTGGGGTCACACAGCCCGCCTGCTGCTGGTGACACCAAACAGTTCTGGGGTCACACAGCAGGACAACATGCCTGCTGCTGGTGGCACCAAATAGGTTTGGGATCACACAGCGGGACAGCCCACCTGCTACTGGTGGCACCACATAAGAGGGGTCTGGGAAGGTACACAGCGTGTGTCCTGTTTCTGAACTATCTTCACAATTAACAGGTGGGTTCCTGAGCCAGATTGCGTTCAGGTGTCCATAAACACTAATGCTGTGTCCGTATGAACTTGGATGTTACCTTTTGTACCCATCTGTACTGCTGGGCTGCAAATAATTATGTGTCATTGAGCTCCACCATTCATGGATGGAGACAGGGACACCAGCCTTGGCAGGAATCATAGGATCACAGAATGGTTTAGGTTGGAAGGGACCTTAAAGACCATCTAGTTCCAACCCCCCCTGCTACGGGCAGGGAAACCTTCCACTAGCCTAGTTTTCTCCAAACCCCATCCAGCCTGGCCTTGAACACTTGCAGAGATGGGGCATCCACAACTTCTCTGGGCAAGCTGTGCCATTGCCTCACCATCCTCACAGCAAAGAACTTCCTCCTAATATCTACTCTGAATCTATTCTCTTTTAGTTTGAAAATATTCCCCCTTGTCCTGTCATTACATACTCTTGTAAAAAGTCCCTAAAAAGAGGAAGCATAGTCTTGACAGAGAAACCCTCTATTGGTGAGTATTGTCTGGCTGAGGCATCTGAAAAGACATTAAAGGAATTAATCAAAGCATGATTAAAAAGTGCCTGAGCAAAACAGCAATAAGCACTGGCAAATGGTTGGGAGATGGTTTGGAGGAGCAAGGAGTTTGCAGTGATGTTTGTTACACAACGAGCCCATGGTATATTAGCAACACTGCCCATAGCAGAAGACAGTGATCTTGCTAGATATGTGCATGTGGTATGGGGTATTTTCAGAGAAGAAAAAATTGCTGAAGACAAGTGAAAGTCAATCCTGATAAGGAGGCACCAAAATGGAGACTTGCAGTGTTGTGCAGGTTGCTTCACTGATCATCCCCTGAGAAGAGTCCCACATTATCATTACTGAAGTATTGAAAGAAAAAATATGAACAGTGTTCATAAGCAACAGTTTCTCTAAAACAGAGGAATGGTACAGGGTTCAGTGCCTCAAGCTACCTGTGGAAAAAATACAGACCTTGTGAGGCAGATCTTTTTTGCCCCTGTTGTCTTACCTGGCATGATGGACTGTGGGTGTTTATAGGATGTGCTGAATAATATTTTTGACCTGCTGGAGGGTCCGTGCCAAGAGCCAGGTATTGCAGAGTGCAGTGACCTGACCTGACTGAATGAAAAGGGGGAATTCCAAAGATGCTACAAGCTACTAGAAAGATGTCAGAGACTACAATGGCACATCACTGTGCACATGGTAGCAGCCCCTTCCTTCCTACCCAAAACGAGAACCTCCTTTTTCTCACTGCATGTGAAAAATAAATGCAACTTGCCTTGCAGAGATTTTAAATTAACATCTGTAATTCAATGTGGCATTGCAGTGATGAGCACCTGATAATCTTGAGTTGAGCTTGTGTGTGAAATAACATAAGACCACATAGTGCCTGAGAAGAAGAAAGCAAATTATCAGATAGCTGTTTGTTATTAGGTGAGCAGGCAGTCCTGTTTGCTAAGCAAGGCTTCCAGTGAAAAATGGTGATTTATAATCACATGCCATAATGTATACATGCAAGAAACCTAATTAAATCAATCTTGATCCAGTTATTTAATACACATACCGAACTTTTGAATTTTTGTAGTCATAAACTTTCTGTTCATGTTTTTGTGAGTGCAGATTTATACATAGTGTCTGAGAAGTATAAAGTGTTATATGAGTCAAGAGTATTAATTCACAATTTTCATGGAAATTCCAACACTTCAGTTTCTCTTGCCTGACCCTGACTAAACAAATCTCCATTATATGCTTTTCTTTGTACAGCTTTTTCCTTCTCCAGCCTGTAGTAATGTGTTGTGTAAATGCAGAACTGTTTGCCAGCCGTGCTAATCCACCAGATGGTGCTGCGTGCCTGTGGATTTCAGGGGGGTTTTGTTGGCGTCTCTTAAAACAGCAGCATTTATCAACTCCTCAGTTAAGAGGGAATATATAATTCCTATTCCTAAATATATATATAAACGTAGAAGGTTGATTTGTTTGTTTGTTTGTTTGTTTTTAAAGTCTAGCTCTTATTTTTAAAGGTGTTAGAGAAACAGAAGTACTTGTAACGTAACAAGCTATTTTCCTCCTAACATTCCTTATAGATTCAACTTTCACTTATGTAGGCTGCTGTGCCCATTTGTTCAAACTACCTAAATGTAAACTCATTGTTTCTGTCATTTAAAGGACTTACAGCTCCTCTTGTTCCTGCTAAAAAAAAAAAAAAATTTTGTTTATTTGTTTATACCCAAGCTCCTTAAATGGTTATCTGTGTGAAAATAAAGATTTCAATTATGATTTGCTTCCTAACAAGTGATACTTTTGTTATTTAAAATACAGGTAAACATTTTTTCCTGACTGTACATCTGAGCTACCTACTGAAAAAAAGACTCATTTAAAAGGTTATTGGATTATTTATAACTAACCCAGCGTAGACAGTTAGTTTCATTTAATCACTGTTTATAATAAATTTCCCATGTGAATCTGCAAGTCACAGGGTGTTTGATAATGGGATGTCATGGCCCACTCTGTATCTTTTCTTTCAGATGGGTACAGACACAATGGAAGAAACAAAAATGGGAAGAGACATTGAGGGGACCGCACAAATCAGTGTGAGATCAGAACATGTAGGAAGTCTGAAGGGTGGAGGATCTTGCATGATAATGACTTGTGTATTGACTAAGAATCTCATGTCTGTACTGAAATCTGGATCCTGACTCAGACGGGAGAAACACAGTTGCCTAAAAAGGAGAATTGCTCGTAATCCAGGTCTGATATGTTATCAGTGAATGACATAAATTGTCAGCAATTTAATATATGGGTCTTAGGGAAAAAAACCCAAACCAAAACAACAACGATTTTGAGCCAAAATTAAATACCCCTGAAGTTTGAGGAAATTTAAATTTGTCAACAGTAGATTCTCTTTGGCCTGTTCTCTACTTTTTGCATAGTTTTACTGGCAAAGGCTGTGGTTTTACTGGTACAGCCCAGTGGCTTTTATGTGGTGGAGATGGGTGCAGAGGAGAAAAAAAACATCCTTTTGCCGCAATATTCATTTGAAAAGCTACTATAAAACATTGTGACATAAGGCAATTTATTTTTACTTTTAGGACCTGATTTTCCACCAAGCCCTGCTAGGGGCTGTGACAGCAGTGCCTTTGGGGCAGGCAGAAGTGATTTGTGTGGGGTTCTGTGCAGCCCCTCTGGGCACTGCCTGGCAAAGGGCACTGCTGTGGCTGCCCAAGAGCTGCCCGGTGGGTTGGGATGTGCGTTTGCCAAACACTGCTCAGAAAATGTTCATGTAAAACCATTACCAGGTTTTATTTAATAACCTCCTAACCCTCTCTCTCTCTCCTCCTCCTCCCCTCTGTTCCTCTAATGCCTTTTACAGCTCTTGCTGCACAGCGTGAAGCCTTAGAGCTGTATTCATCAATGACTCACACCCTTGCTTAGGGGCCAATTTTCATGGAAGCTATACAGGAAAATTTTGAAATGCACCTATCTCATGCAGGGCACAAGATGATTTCTCTATTCATTACTATTCCAAAAGGACTTGTTGTCCTTTGGAAATGGTCAGATATTGCTTACATTTGTGTGTGCATGCATACGTATGCAGAGCTAACTTGCCTATAGATTTGAGTGGTCTAAAAATAAAAATGTATTGTTATTATCATTGACTCCAGTAGCTGAAAGGCAACTAAGGTCCTGCTTATACTGAGTGGAAGCAGGCAAATGCAAAAGAAAATGCAGCAGTGTGCTTTGGGTGAGCAAATCCTACGGAGTCAAGCACAAAACTTGTTAAAGTTCACCCTTTTGTTTGATGATATGAGTATCAGCCTTCTGAGGAACTTGGGAGTAAAGTCACGGACTTACTCTGAGAAACCAGACTGCACTTTTGCCTCCAGAAGTTTTTTATTTAGGTCACGGTCGTAGTACATTTCTAAAACACTACAAGAAAACATGTTCCTTTCCTTTAAGACATCACATGTTAACTCAAGTTTTTAGCTCTGGGGAGGAGATAGAGGTAAAATTATTAGCCCAAATGACCTTTTGGTTTAAAACCCACATGATAGAGGGGGAATCTTTACTGCAAAATTGCCAGTTATAGAATAATTGCATTCTCAGGGGTTGCTAATTATATCCAAAATTACATTAAACAGTTTTGGGGAAGGGACTGAGACTGCTTAGCATAAAGCAGTTTATTTACGCATGTACAAAGTAGCTTACATCCCTAAGGGATTAAACTAATTGCAATATTTTAATGTGAGTTGTAAAAATTGTGTCATGCAATGATGAATCAGAACTTGCAGGAAAAAAGAGGGCAAAATACACTTTTGCTTTTCATAATTTTTCCAACAGGCATTTCAGATCATAATTCTAAAAATAGCTTTTTCCTTCTCTTTGTTTCTTAAACAGAATGCAAAAATCCCTTTCTGCAGATCAAGCCCATCCACTGACATTAATTTTTGCCTTCGATCTGCTCAGGTGAGTTCCTCAAGAATGTGTTAGAGACCAGATTTGTTTTTTCCATATTTGTGGATGTTGTTTTTCCAAAGTGGATTATGCTAATAACATAACTTTTGGCTTGGGAGATAAGTTTTGTCCTAACGAGAGAGCATTTTCTTACTAGAGTGCACAGAATTACCAAGCTCCACATGTATGTTACACAAATCAGGAAAATTCATGACCCTGTCAAAGCCAAGAAATAGGCAGAGTCCTGTGAATACAGTAGCATGATCCTTGTTTTAGAGATGACAAAACACAGGCAAAAAAAGAAGATAAGTGAATTCCCTCACATTGCCCAGAATACAAAGTAGGAAATTAAAAATTTATTCTTTGCCTTTTATTCTCAGGCGCAACTTTAGTACTTTTATGAAGTAATTGCTGTTTACCTGGGTAGCCTCTAAGTTCTTCCTTTCCAAAGTCCATTTGTGCTGTAGAGAGTATGCAGGGATTGTAAATGTACTCCTAAGTAGCATTCCACAGTTGAACTAATTGCCAGGCCAAGCAAGAGACCACAGTAAAGGGGTGAATAATTTGACCCAAGATGGATTTGTACTCTACCAACACAACCTGAAATCTTCTAATGCTTTTGGATTTGATTGTGAGCTGTTCATTGTTGTTTGAGCCTGTTCTTTTCTATTACCATATTTTCTCTGGATATCATTTCTGTGTACCTTATCTTTGTATAAAAGGCCACATCTTTACCATATTTCCAGGGAGTAGTCAGTAGAGGCATACAAAATTTACTGCTGTAGACCAAAGTAAGACAGATAAAGGTAGTACATTACAAAGTTCTTGCCCTCAATCATGCAGAAGGCTCTCTATGCTTCTGTGAGCAGTGGTACCTATGGGGCTGCACTGTAATGGGAGAAGGGTTAACAGCAAACCAGGACATTTTCTGCAGCAAAAGGAGATGGAATCTTCTCTAAGCAATTACCTTTTATATGATAAACAATGTCAGTGGTCAATAGAGGGAGTTTTCTTACCCTAATCCCCTTCCATTCAGCTTAAAATAAAAATGCTATTCGTTTGACTAGCAGGTTGGGATATCATGAAGCCTGGTCATACCTGTTTGCATGTTACATTTATCTGCCAGCAGAAGGGTTACTGCAGTAGCCTTTCCTTAAATAAAAAAACAATACACTAATAAATGCATGTTACAGCTTTAGTGCTGTAAGGTGCTTTTGTGAGACGTGTCTATTGGCATGCTGCAGTCTTTTTGGAATACAGAGTGCACTGCTATTTATTACAGATTCTGTTGGTATCATGAAGTTGTAAGTAGCTTCTCCTGTACTTTTAGCTTCTACTGACTCTGAAATTCCAGCTTTAATTACTAATGGGTAGTATACAAAACAATTTCCTTCTGGTAAAGGATACACATAATCTGTCATCATTAGATATCTGCTGGCACTACACATAGCTTGTGCTTTGACCAACCCTTAGGGAAGGGGAGGTTTGGTAAAAGAGAAAAGCCAAAAGCCATTATACATATTTAAGGTACTGAAGAATTTAAAGATTACAACAGCATATCCTTTTGAACATATGAGCTGTGACTTTCAATGGATGTGATGTTCCTCGTGGATGTGGTGAGATGTGACAGAATGGCCACACAGCTGAGTAGCCCTCAGCTCAGTTACAGGACACAGAAAAATCAGAGCTTCAAGGCAGCATGCTTATAGCTTTCTCTGTCTATTGTTCTTTCTAGTGGAGTGCAGCTACTGTGATCTCTTTCCTGACCATCAGGGTTTTTTGTGTCTCCTTTTTTTACTTCAGAAATACATTTATTTGAATCAGAATTGAACTCAAAAAATAAAAATGGGGCACAACATTTGAAATAAAGAAAGTCCTACCTAACATTGTGAAAGGTTAAATGCAAAAGTAGTGAAAACTGCAAATGGATCATTTTTATTTTTTATTTTAATATTTTTTCCTTTCGTTTGTTTTTTTATAACTTTCTTTAAAAACAGTGTAGTGATAAAGCTAGGGCAGTGCCATGGAAGGCCAGAGGCCTTGCAGTTACAGGAATCTGATCAAAGAGAAGAACCTTAGGCTGGCCTTAGCCACAGCCATTCCCAGCTATTTGCTGAAGTCTGAAGCAACTGCAATTTCTTCTATTCCCCACTTCTGTCTGTGAACATTCAGTGCTTGAATCCTGCTGCTTCTGGCTCATAAAATCTTGTCTGTAGAAAGTTTCTTCATTTTCTTGGTTTTCTTTGCTATCTAGAAATTTTAGCAAGCAAAAATTTCTACTTGATAATATTCAGTGCTCCAGAAGGAGGGTGCCTATTGGTCTAAACTACAAACTTTACAGTGAACCAGATCCTTAGCTAGAAAAAAGCACAGAGCTCCCCTGAACCAACAAACCTATGCTACAATTTACGTGGTGCAGACTGTGAACTGCAGGAATTCAACATGGAAAATGCCACTGTAAGGGTGTGAGAAATGCATATAACTCAGCAAAAGTACCTTCATTCAGTCCCAAGGGCAGCATCCAAGGATTCTATCTGCATTGTAGTATTTCTGGAATTTCTTCTGCTTCAACAGCCAACGATTACAAAATCTTACATCTGTATATTATAGTTGGAATAGTCCAATGTACATTTCTATGGAGGCATAAAAATTATACATTCCCTATCAAACTTACAATGAGGCTATCAAGTGTTTTGCACGGGGAGATCAGACGGCCCCAAGACTTGTTGCTGTGCTTAGTATTTGGCATGGAGTGTCAGCATCTTCATGCAGTAGTTACTTGATGTCTCTAAAGTGCATATTTGCTGTCATGTTACTGCTCTGTGTATAGTAAAATGCTATATAGGACATAGCATAATCTTGTTTGATATTATGATCCTGTAATTTTCTTTAAAAAGATTAATCTTGTAAATACTGTAAATTTATATTAGTAGTCGCAGTAAGCTGTTTAAGGTTTATGTGGAGCAGCATTATTTATATTTATAGTCAGTGACCCTGATACCTTGTACTTAGAGTTGAGATATTTTTATGTTAATTTGTTTCTTTATTTCCTTGGCCTTGGCTAAAAGAACCCCAAACACTATTAGACTTGATTTTCAAAAGATCTTCCAAACTACATATATCTACAATCTACTCATAGATTTCGGAGGTATTTTAACACTTATTGCCATTTCATATTGCCATTTAAGTCATTAGGGGGTGAGTAAGGTATACCTAGAGATACAAAACATTATCTCTGAATTAGCCTCTTTGAAGTGCATTTCATTGCTGTATCAGTCATTGCAGAGAAAGGTTCTGAGCCCAGGAGTAGAGATGAAAATATATACAATCCTTTTAAAAGGTAGAATATTTGAATTTAGGTTGCAAAATAGACAGTTGCATGAAATTATCACTCCTGTCATGTCAGCTGAAATATCAGAAATCCTATTTCTAATCCCCTCCATGTAATATGGCACGGGGACATAGATATACATCAGCCATAAAGAGAGACAGTACAGCCCTGCCAGCAGACTCCAGCAGTCTGCCTACAATTCAGTCCCCCTCCTCTAGCCTCTCCACCCACTGGTTGAGCCTCTCGTTGCCCTTCCAACACCTAATGGACTCCTGACACAGTGGAGGGGAGGGCGGGAGCAGTGTGGTGAAAAATTAGGCACTGCAGACAAAAACTTGACAGACTGTTTTGCTCCCAGTGTCACAATATGAACGGGCCTGGTAAAAAGTAATGGCCATTATCCCATCTCACTGAATGACTTAAGTGACTTACAGCCACATGCAGAGAAAGTTCTTTGGACTACTTCCATGGAGTTTTTTTTAATTTAATTTGCATGATAAGATGTACAAGCCAAGGTTTTTACAGTTTAAACAGCTTCATTTTTCTCTGACTCCTGTATAAGGTATGGATAATTTCACTGGGGTCATTGGAGTAACTTCATTATCAAACGGATTTTGTGAGAGCACTTTCACAGTCCTCAGGCAACTTTCCAGTTGTTGCTTCTCTATGCTCATGGTGAGCACTTTTGTTTATTGCTAATGTAGATGAGATAATGTAAATAATGGCAGGCCAAAAAAAAAATTCAGATTGTTGCAATTGCAACATACTAGTAACTGCTTTCTTCCCTTTGCAGTGGAAATGTATTTAGCAATCTATTCCCATTTATTATTTCTGATGGAAGCAAAATCTTAGCACATAATTAGCCAATATTTCATATACCTGAGTCTATGTTCATTCTTCCAGCAGCATCCTCCATCTTTTCTCTCCTCCTTCTCTTTTTTTTTTTTAATTTGTGGTTAGGCAGGGTTTACTGTAAAATAATATTTTTGTGAACTATTACTTGCATAAGATCAAATAATAATGTATTCTCTTTTATAACCTTTGTTCTGATGTGCTAAAATCATATTTTTTGGCAGTGTAGCACTCTGCTGATGAAGCCTGAAGTACATGACAATATGACTGGAATTCATCATCAAGTAAAGAGTGTAGTGAATTTTGCACCAAATCATCACAAAGTAATCTTGCTTTTCTCTCTGGTCTTACTCTAAATGTGATTTGCACTCTTACGGAAAGAGGATTTTGTGATGGTTTTGATGTTACATACAAATGGTCTTGCTTTGTAAAATTTCCATCATGCCTGTTTACGTTTAGCAGCAGTGCTATTGATTCAAGCTGTACTGATTGGAAAGTAGAAGTCTTTAACACTAAGCCCCTTCAAAGTTTTTCACAAATTTTTGGCATTTTGCCAGCATTGCTCACAAAACAGCATAGAGCTGCTGGGAGGAAATGTTCCAGCTGCAGGGATAACTGGAGCCAAAAAGTAACATCCAAATAGAAATTATCCAGTTCGTGATTTCACTTTGATCACCAGATGTTTGTCATGTGACTTCAGCATTAGAAAATAGGAGAGAGGAGAAAGTAATGGTGTGATGCTTAGCTTAAATCTGACACGAGCTCATAGCTCAGCAATAGGTATAAAGAAACAGTTATTGGCTTTTCCCATTTTGGTTGTGATATTCCT